ATCTAAAGAATTCCGATAACTATAATGAAGAATTATTTATAACTGCAAATGATTAACAAAATATTTGTAATTCCTTTTAGTTCATATGAAATTTTAGAAATTCCAAACCAATAGATTTTTAGTTATTTGAGTGTTCATTATACGTACATTGAAAATATTACTATATGAGTGATATTTATTACGTAATGATGGCAATCGAAGCATAAGTTTAACCAAGAAACGTTAGATGGTGCTTTCGTCTTAACATTTGACTATTTAGTATTTGAAACCACAACTCAACCTTGAATCAAACTCAAGACCATTGGGTTTGTATTCAATTATAAACATTTCCAGCCCCAATTGAATAACAATATAACACCGAGACTATACTATTACGGTGGTGGTGAAGGTTTCAATAAAGACTTGCATAACATCTATTGGCTACGTCTCCTTATTATAGCTCCGGTAACTCATCTTCAAAAATACTATATATGACCAAATTATCATATTTCATCGAAATCATGAACCGATTAATGTTAGACCACCATTGAAAACCTGAAAGCACTGGACGGCCATTTCGTTCTAGTATCAGACTACTTAGCAGTGGGCAATCACGATCCCTCAAGAAGGACTTGGACACAGGACCTTTGGTCCAGAGTGAACGCTTAACCTTCAGACCACTGAACCGGGATCCAATAGTGTTAATGCCTAACTTCGACTAATCCACCCTTCATTGTCTTCGGTGGGTAACTGACTCAGACCCGATACGGTTAAACTCCATTAGTTACGACTTCTCACTAGAACCCCAAGAATTATCTCTCGAAGCTAGTCACAGGTGAGTACACAATAATTATCAGTATAGGGTTATGGAGACAGTTGGGATTTTATTTAGATAAAGGTTTGTGATTACTTTCTACTTTAGTGGTAATTGTCACCAACTGGTTCGGGTTTTTCTATTACTAATATATATTAAACAACCGCAACCTACATGATTTCACTTGATATTTTTGGTTTTGAAAAATTCGGTCGTTTTTCAGTGTCATAAAGTTTTGTTCAATCACTTACATTAGAATTTTCTAAATTCAACCTGTAAAACTTTAACTACTTACAAATCAATCAGTAGACAGGTGGTTTACTACAGAAATGTCCCACATTGATGATATTTTTTATTTTAAACGCTTATCAATATCAATTGTAATAAAATAGTTGTGTGATTTTATCACAGCAGTGTATTAGTGTATACTTTATACCCAGGTTATGAACAACGCTCAATCAGGGAGTCGTTATAAATCGACAGGACCAAGTTTTATACAGTCATGAACTCCAACACCATTTCGTATACTGGCCACCTCTCAGATGTTTATAATCAGTTTTATCGTCGAAAAATAGCTCATAAATAGGAAGCCACTGGATAACATCAGCAATAACCAACATGGTATTGATCTCATATACAAGTCATCTATAATTTATACTTGAAACGAGGAACCGCTATTATTCCCACAACACGAAGTAACAACACAGAAGATGGATACAACTGAAGATTTATTCAATCCAAAAAGATCCAAGAAGACCTTAGTTGAAATATACAGTCATTTGTATATTCAGTTAGTTGAACTATTTGATTAATAATTGCAATGTATCACATGAATAAGAAATATCCTTATTCATCATAAAATCACATGTTGCATTTCATATTAAACATAGTTCACTTTAATGTAATATAAAGAATATAATAACTTGAATAAACAGCATAATGAGGTAAAACAATTTCATACACAATGGAAATAAATCATCATATTGAACTGAAGACGGTAGTGAAGTTTAATAAAAATCACAATGAATTAATAATTCTATTTTGTCTTTTTATTCTGTCATATTAGTTGAACTGAAATTCAATAATAATTTTTTAGAGACAATAATGATCGAATAAAGATAATTTTCGAACATTATTAACTTGGAGAGTTTAGGTTTTGGAAAGTATAGACTAGGGCTGATCTTACGTATAGAATGTAGACTCAACCTTTAACAACAGACTAACATCATTATGGTACCAAATATATGCCCAAACCTCTCTAACTACCACGCCAATACCAGAATATATAACTATCTACTATGTATCAGATCAAGAATGAAGAAAATGTATTTGCAAAACTTTTTTCGATGCCTCATAGGTAAAATTCTGTTTATGCTTATTTAAAAAATGTACACAAACTCATTGGCCTAAATAGGATGAGCTTTTTAGACTATATGGTATTGTCGATTGAATCATACGAAAAGATAATACCAATGGATTAACAGTTTACAGGTTGTTTAAAAATCTATCGAAGTATCTATATAAGCATATCTAAAACTACTCATGCTGATTACCAGTGTTTCTTTAGTTTACATTACCGTTTGTTAATATTTATAACAGCTTAATCGTTTACAAAAGGAATGTCGCCGACTCAAACGTTTAGAAGTTTATCTGTTCATCTATAAAGAATGTATACACGAGCAGCACATTTTGAAATATTTTCCTCTTAATACAGTTGTCTATCATCTATGTTTAAATAAACTTCAGGTTGACTTTATGATCCACATGTTTCATACACTGATAATCAATAATTGGTCATCTGTCTTCGATACGAAATACTTTGAATACACTTTTGTCTAGATTCAAACTAAGTTAATATTATATTTCCTTGAAGATCTACACAAACTGTGATTTCATTATCATTCACAGACCTTATTGATAGTTGAAGTGTGAATTAAACTTCAACAAATTAGGTCACCTTTTTTACACTAATAATTGAAGTGTTTATTACTAAGATGTAAAATTCGGGAAGAATTTAACAAATGTGGTCGATTATTCATTAAGATTTTCGGCCAGTTTTATTCGTTTTTGATTAAACAAGTGAGATTTATCATATAAAAAAATCCTGATAATGTTCTGACTAGATCATCTACTTTCCTCTTTCCATCTATATAACTTGATAATCACAAAGTTCATCTATATTAATTATAGTCACATGAGTATGTTTTAATACTTCAGTAGTATAAATCTCTTCGATAATTACGTATGTTGTACTGTGACGTTATATATGATAGATTAGCTTCGAACACAACTTGAACTTTCCTTTATCTGGAATATTACTCATCCATAATCAATCACCTCAAGTTGTTCATGATTGAATTTCGTCATTACATGAATTCAGCAAATATTAGTCTTAAAAATTAGCTGTATTAGGCATATACTAAGCTTCGGTCAAATACAAAATTCAGACTATCACTTGAAGTTTTCCTATCATGTTGAAATATTATGCAATTAATTAGTTTTACGTTGGTTACTAAAGATGAGGTATAGAATTGTTTAGAAACTTGGGTAGCAACCTTATTGTACATCTATTTGTTTGATGACTTAACAGAACTCTTGAGGAATGCACATTTTGCTTGTTTTCCTGTTGATTAGAATAGTTTTTGAATTCGTGCTTTTTTCGAATTGTGCAATGTTTCTTTCGGTTGAATCTCCTCGCTAATTTCGTTGTTTGTACAAAATATTTCATATCCTAAGTCTATGTAATAAACTGTTGGGTTCAAACTGTCTGAATAAAGGTGGATCAGCAGTATCTGAGGTATCGGGCTTGTAAAGATATCTCCGGATCATTTCTTTGGAGCCAGATCATCCCGATATATTATCAAACAATATCAATTACAGTTATTAGTCAAAAAGTATTCATTAGTTCGGAAATCAAATCTTCACAGAACAAATGATAATACGAGATGTTTGGATTAGAAGCACAAAGATACATAATTAAGACAGAAACTATATATGATCATGTCAATATTGTAGTAAAACTATCCGATGAAAGTTTTTCATTCAAATTATTACATGAAGGATAGATGCTGGTAGTTTCATATTTAGACTTAACTCTGATAAACTTTTTATAAATAGAATCTACTTAGGAAAGTATGTAATACTTCTCAGATTTATTTTAATTCCTAAAATCTATAGAATATGAATGATTTATATGACATGGGTTTTGACCTTACCATTGTTATTAAATCAAAAACACTTAGATTGATTAATTGGCATTAAGTACAAATTAAAATTAATAAGCATTGGTGATAAGTCACTGTATCGACGTGGTATTGGACACGATTCAGATATGTCCAGACGTCAGTCCCATTTTCGAGGAAATGGTGGATGAATAACAAAAATATCAATAGTAAACAAACAATTGGAGTATAAAAAGTAGGACACAAAATCATTAGAAAATTTATGTAAGTAGAAAGCGAAATTGAAGCACGGTGTTCCCTTTATCATATTAAGGTAGACAGCTGACGATACGGACAACGTAATAACCCTTTTCTTACATTTCTATGCATTAATAAATTTCTGACCAATAGTAAAACAACCTAGTTTTACTGAAGACATAAATAACCTTGACGAATGAATTAACTAGATGGGGTCGAACGTGTGAACGCCAGGAAAACTATTGGCGGTATTTAGTGTTGTGTAAGGCTACCTTATCAAGCCAAAATGTCCAGATGACTCTACCAAATAATGCTTTATGTTACAACACGTATTGTTGCCTCAATTCAAAGTTACTACAGACGCTTTCACTTTCAGTTAATCGGCACAACGCTGAGTATTTCAGTACTGAAGTGTGAAATATCGTTTATTTCTCATACATACACTGTAATGAATATAGAATTGAGACAACACAAGAAATCTTTTGATTGATATCTAAAACGACTCAAATTTCATTTGACTAAAATGACTATTCATAACCTATCGGCTACATTCTACGTAATTAGCAGCACAAAATAATTCAATATTTTGTCGAAACTTTGACCAGTAGGGGTAACTGGAGAAGAAGCCTCTTACGTAGTTCATGTAAATGTTTCGACGTTTCACGATAACAGTTAGAAATCACAATTTTCATTCGAATTTCAGATAACATTTGCTACGGGTCTTAAAGTGGAGTGTACGAAAACTTCCTTACCAACCTCAAACATACAGAAACAACTTACATAGAGTTGGAGCATACAATTATATTACTTTGAGCTAAAAAATAATTTTAAGGAAGACTTATAAATCTTTCAAAAACGCCAAAGGAATGAAAGCTTCCTGACTAAAACATTATCGGCTTTGACTAAGCTCCCCTTTGATGAATTATACGCTCCTATAATCATAAACGGTGCGAAAACAACAGTAGGACAACGTGCTTCTGTTTATTATTAGCAGGAAACAATTGGACGAAGTTAAATATTATGTACACGGAGAGAAATATGTTAAATAAGATCTGTCTTCAGATTAAAAAAGTAAGGAACTGTATATGCAAGTCCGAATAAACTTTTTCAGATAGAACTAACAATTCCATTGATAACTCTCGCATTCAATATGATTGAATAAGCAAAGATCAACTGTATTTTTGAGTAGGTCTTCTGACTTCAATTTTATTCGGATAAATATTTTTCTTGAATACAATATTGCAGAGGAAGAACCAACAAACATACATTACAACATATGGGAAATTGGTAGATAAAAGATACTATCTGTAGAAATCCTGATAAAGAAAACCAACTATTTATTTATTGAATAACAATAGAAAAACGTCTCATATATGACGTATTTTCACATGAATAATAAGATATACACAATATGTATGTTTATGTATATGGGCTTATTTTTACATAAGATAAACGCATAGAATAATAAATGCTTGAAAATTACAACCGTCGATGGATGACAGATATCACTAACAAAAAACAAAAACGAAATGTTCAAATTTATACTGAAATAAAAACAACCAGAAAAGAAACAATGGCAAAATTGAACAGAGCATGTCTCATTTGTCCCCTTCTTCCTTTTTTATGCAATAACTGTATAAACTGATTAAATATAATTAACATAATCTAATTTTGACATAATACATACAGTTGGTTGATTAGTTAATTAATCAATGTATATCTTTTCTCTATTGATGCAACTAAAACTAAAAACAATAAGTACAGATAAAGAAAATCGCACTTTCTACTTTCTGGGCAATCGCTTTTCTAATACATTAACATAACCAATATGTATACGATGTAAGAAATCATCATCTGTCTGGAAAAGAAAACAGCAATAAGAAAAGTTGGTGGTTAGTAGCGAAACAAACACAGAGAAAGTCTTAAATGTCTTACACTTCAGTGGATACAATGAGCTATCATATCTATAATGACTATATGGTTTAATATTGAAATAAAGGATTTTCAAGAGGCAGTGAAGTGAAAATCGGTTACAAGACACGAAAAGAACGTCTAGAACCAATATAAGGATACTTTTCACGAATGTTTTTGAACGATCAAGTCTTATAGTGAATTATTTCGTACATTTGGTAAGAACAATCCAAGTGAATTAGCTGGTTCTCTCTGATCTAATAAGATATCACAGATATTCCTAGATGACGATGAAACGGGGAGCAACATTCTTCACAAGACTGAAGAGCTTGTTGGTGATTTCAACCTTCTACTACCTGACAAGTGAAATTAATCGAATCTAACCGAATAGAAGAAATATTAAGGATAGTATTTGTAACACTACAGTTGAACCAGAAAAGTCTAACAATTAGTGAGCTAATGCGAGCATTAACAGTGATAACTGACAACTGGTATGGGAAAATGAGATAACTGTTTTAATTGTAGCACAAAAAAGCATTACAAACTAGCTTGAAATGAACGAACTAATTAAGGTCACAAACCAACAATCGATGAGACCTGTAAGCACTAGATGGCAGTGTGAGACTTCACAATATTGCATAGCGGACCCCAAAGACAAGGGTCAAACCCAGGACTTCGGTCTCGCGTACGGAAGTTTAGCCTCTAAACCATCGAGTTGGGATTCTATGATGGATCAATTTAGCTTCAATCAACCTACCATTGGATAACTACTCAGTGGTCTAGAGGTTGAACTTCAGCGCGTGAGAGTGAAGGTCCTGGGCTCGAGCCCTGCCCTAGGGGTCGTGGACGCGCAGTCCCATACTAGAACGAAACAAGCGTCTAGTAATTCCAGGCTTTCAATAGTTGTCAAACTTAGATTGGTTCGTAATTTCAATAAAATTTAACAAATTCCACAATACCTGAACGACTTATATTTGAAGGAAATCCGGGTATTTCTTAATTATTTGATATAAAAAATACAATGAAACCTACTTGTAACAAATGAATTAATGTTTCTCTTAGTTGATCTTTCGTAAGATATTCATTCATCGCGGATTTTTCTGTTGTCGAGATGGGGGCTTTATTTTCTGAAAAAGGGCTCGATACAGTATGTTTACCATAATTAAATTCGGACATTAATCCGGGGAAAATCGATGATGGGATGCTGGTTAACATGTCAGGTGTAACGAGTGTGTCTTCTCCTATAATCGTTTTACACTTGGGAGTGATATTCGAGAGTTTATTTCGATTAACCGACCGATTAGATGGTGAATGTATTTCATCTGAAAAATTTTCTTGTTGCTGACGGATATGCCGTCGTTGTTTACGTTGGCCAACTCCATAGCTTTTGGGTAAACCACGACCACAAGGGTCTTCGCATGCTTCCTCATCATCAACATCATCCACATAACCAGCATCATCACTAAGAAGGCGGCGATTTCGATCAACACGAGTATCTTTATGTCCTTCAAGGTAGCATGCAGAAGACTCCATGACTGACACATGTGATAACACCTGGTCATCTGGAGAACTATCGTCCGTAGCGACAACTGTTTTTAAATCACCGGATATCTTTGAACGTGATGTTAGCCCATCAACGTTTTCAGGAAGCTAATGGAAGAAGGCAAGGATAAATAATTACTGTTCTTTGCATTTTTAATTTTGAGTATGAAAAGTTGAAATGACAACAGTATCACAACGTGTGACAACGAATAATATAGTGCACTTCAATCGCTTGTTATTCTATTGAATACGATAAAACAGAAATTTAGGAAGAATATACATTTGCTAGGTATGTAAAAAAAGCGTATCTATATGCAGATTTTGACGCGATAGAATGCAGTGATAACACTGAATGGTCGATCATCGCTACCACCACATTTCGTATTCTTATGAACCGGTAGCAACATTACTGAGGAATAAAGTGGAAATCACGTACCTACAATGAATAATTAAAAACCTACTTAACTGATAATTATGCTAAATAGCATTTTCAGAGACTGGTGACTTTATCCTCATACTGTGAGCTACTACAAAAATGACAAATTCTGGATGATTAGCAAAGCTACTCCATCCATACACCCGCCAATAAAAGTAACTTTACAGTACTAGGCGACGTGGATATAAACTTAGAGAACAGAAATTTTTTTCAGGGTGTTGTCTAGCTGGTAAGAAATCATATAAGATTATTATATAAGCCTAGAGTTTAAGTGAACCTCAACCTACCTACACATCACACGAAGCACAACCAGCTGTTATCTTAAATCAATTAGCTGAAGCCAATTTTTCGACTGAAATCCTAACCCGATAAGATTTCAACTAAGATTTCATGAGTGGCAAGAAATATCTCTAACTTACAGATATATGCTCCTGAAGTAATTGTTCTTCAAGTTCAGCAACAGAAATATGATTGACAATCTGAGATGACCCACAACTCAGTTTATTCTTCTTACTACTTCTAAAATAGGTAGAAATAAAAATCCGAAAACAAGTAAACGAAGAGGTTACAACCTTCAATGAAGCAACTATTTAAATATATGTAATACTTTTTACCAATGGGGCTCCCTATACATGAAGATAAGTATATCTACTGTTTACTAGAATTATGATCAATAAAATAAAACTAATGTAATGAATCATATAAATGTTGCCAGAAACTAAAATTTATATTTTAATAAAATCCATGTTTTGAAGATTCAGTACTGTCCTAATAGTTCATTTCAATGAGTTCACCCCTATATATAAGTTTTGATTGCTTCCATATTTGTTTTGACTGACTAAACATCCGAACCATGAACAAGGATAATAATGCTTCAAAATATACTAGAAACAAATAATTAATTTGCAAATAGTCTCATTTGCTTGATAATAATCTATTAACACTGTGCTAACTTTAATGAACCATATTAATCATGGTGCTCTCTGGAAACCTGGATGGATATTAATTAACGATATAAATGAGTAGGTTAACTTAGATTGATACGATAGGTTAGTAAATAAGCTCACTCAGACCTTCTATCTACACATATCCATTTCTCTTAGACAAAATAGTATATGAATGAGAGGCGATGATTAATTTCAAAAAGTAGACTAATAGACACAAGGTAAGTGTTCGACGTCAAACACGAATCAGATCGATAAAAATGCCTTAATCAGACGCGTCATATAAGACTTGCGTAAGAATTAGCAGTAATAATAAGATTACTTAAATACAAATGAACTCCTAAAACGGGGAATGATTAAAACAGTGATCAACCATACAAAAAGCATTTTTGTAATATGTATTCAAGTATCTAGTGGACACAGTACTGTAGACTTTATAAGTTGTTCGAATTGAAAACAACCAGAGACGTAAATTTGTCCGTAAATTTTAAAATTAATCTTTAACATTGGAGAACGGTCATTTGAATCTTGTATTTACTATGAAAACCGTAAATTTCGTACCATATGTTACATGTGACAGCTTGTAACGAAAACTTTATTTTCCGGAAATGCAGCTTTGAAGGTTTTAAAATGTCAAGAATAACCTTTCGCACCCAATTCATATGACCGCTATCAACTATTTATTCAGTTTACTTTACTTAATTTCATCATTTTAAATCGTGACCAAGTTGTGATACATGAATTGAGCCTGCTATTCAAAACTAAGGAAAAAATTATTGTTATCAAAGCGAATGTTCGGCAACAAAAAACAAATGCTTATTTAAGATCTTTCCAGAATGACATTGAAAAACAACTCATGTAACCTATCTACAGAGTATAGATTCATGCACTCTGGGGTTTGAGTTACACTAGTAATACTACCTGGCTGCCCAAACCGAAGTGTATAGGCTGGAATTCTGATTAGTGACCTAATGGTTGAGAGCTGATCAATGTAACTATTAGGCTACGGTTTAATATTCACTATTAATATATTCAATACCCATAGAACATCCTACATGTACGCTTTCAGAAACTACACAACATGAACAGAGTGAATGGTTAACACGCATAATTTAATATAGTAAAACATTTCATAAGTAAATTAAATACTGATAAGCGAAAGTCATTAAACAATTAATCATTACCAGAATACTTGGGTGTACAACACATAGATAAATATGCTACTTACGAAACTCCGCTAGCACCTGGTCCAGAATGATTGCCGAATGAATTATTTCCATTTGAAACTGGAAGATTGCAAGCTGTACGAAAACGTTGTAGTTCATTTTTGACGGTTATGTCTAAACAAGTAAACAAAAAGAAAAAAGCAAGTCACCACTAACTACATATACACCATTAACAAAATCAATGGATGAGACAAAAACGAGGTTTTATTCCTTTTTTAAATGGAAAACGTTAATTTAAATAGATTTATTCTTACCTGATTGTGATACGCTTCGATTACTCTGGAACAAACAAGCAAACACAAAAAATATAAGTTATTAACTGATAATCAATGTCTTTTGTTTGAATAGAGAAATAGTTAAACTTTTTTGATTATACACATTCTATGTGCAAGAAATTCTGGGTTTAACGTAGCGTGTAACAGAACCCTAACTTAGTGGTTACAATACCCGGCTTCCGACCATTAAGTCATATGTTTGAAGCACACTTTAGTCTACTCTGATTTAAGTAACTATATGGTATTTTTGTCCTTAACACGAAGTGCAGCTTCTACTTGGTCAATAAGTAACATTCATTTATTTTCAAGGGAACTATTGCTGTTCACTGGTCTACGAAAAGATCTCTCAAAAGATTTTTATGTTTGAAACCCACTACATATCAGTTTAGGGGTTGTTGAGATTGTTAAGATTTTGATTGAGATCATGAACCGATTGATGTTAGACCACCAGTGAAAACCTGGTTGAGGTTAGACATTAACACCAAGCGTTCACGCGTGAGACTGAAGACCCTGGGTTCGAATCCCGCGAGCGGGGTCGTGGATGCGCACTGCTGAGGAGTCCCATAATAGGACGAAACGGCCGTCCAGTGCTTCCAGATTTCCAATGGTGGTCTAACACTAATCGGTTCATGATCTCAATCAAAACCCCACTACATATGTTGGAGCCTCGGTAGCCATTTGGTGTTTCAAGCCTTGACACAAAGAAAATATTGTTCATATTCTAGTAGCATGAGTTGAAAATATTAAACGAAATAGTAAACAAAAATCACAATACTAACTCCTGAATTAAAATCGGCTTCTGCCTTGTGTAACATGTCAAATATACTTGGTCCTTCGGAATGATTAGATACATTGTCATTAACTTTGGATGGGTTTGAAGAGTTTGCCTTGGAATTTTCATTGGACGCACGAACGAAATCCATTAACTGATTTAATCCTTTAGTAACTGTTTCCGGAGATTTAGGAGCAGCCACTATAGGATTCATCACAGAATTGGGAGATTTAGATTTGGAATTTGTGGACTGGCTCGTAGGAGCTATCTTTAGTCCTAAGCCACCAGCGTCGTGAACAAGTCTATCAAATGAAATACAGACGGAATACGATAAGCATTATTGAGAGATTTTATGTAATCATACAGACGGAAACATTGTATACGTGAACTTAAAAGTATTGTAGCCGAAAAGTAGGTCAGTCAACTACAACCTAGCTCAAGATTATGAAACAAATATGATTAGAAGTTCAGTTTATTTGTACACATACCACAACTATGAGCTAACTGTAGTTCATGTGGATTCTAGTTGAATAAAAAGTGAAATAATTTGAAAAATAAAACCCAGTGGATGAACACAAGAAGCAGAGCAACAATAATCCAGTTTAACCAACCTAAACGATTTGGAATGTCAATAAACAACTAAATTTGTGATTACCTCGTTGCGCTGTGATTACTTTAAGTACATACACTGAGAATTCCATGTCGTGCTAAACGTTTAGTAGTCAACACAGCGACTAGTATTTATAAGATCATATTTAGGCTCATCTGATATCTTTCGATAGTGTGATAAGAAAACGAAGATTATCAGAACTATGCGATATATTAGCGAAATACATTTCGAACAATCTGATCACACATACTTGTTAAGAACACTTATATATAAAAAACAAAAGGTCAACTAGACTAGAGATGGAGGGTAAGAGGAGACAAGATTAAAATAATGTGAAACACAAAATTGAAATAGGTCATAAGATTAATCTTAATTCGGCTTTTGTGGTGTTGTACAAAAGTGTAATAGGGCGTATACTAAGGTTTATTGTAACCTTAACCATACGAAAATTTAAACCCCCTTTGTCTATTCAAAAACAGTTTGTTCTCACCTTAAACCTACCCTGGTGATATTAGCTTAATATTCAGAGTGATGAGGTTTCAAATTATCTTCACATTATTTTCTTTATTATTCTTGTCTCCTCTTACCCTCCATTTCTAGTCTAGTTGACCTTTTATATTTTTTTACATACAAGTGTTCTTAACAAGTATGTATGTTCAGATTGTTCGAAATGTGTTGCGCTAATATATCACATAGTTCTGATAATCTTGACAACAATCTTAAACTTCAGCTCAAAACGTCAAACCGAATTAAACAAGCAATTTTCACCAAACTTTGGTGAAAAACACTGGGACCTGTATTGAGTCCTGGCGACCAATATTTATTTTTCAGATATATTGAGCTCAGGATAAAACATTATGCAAGGAAGGCAGATCGTTCAACAACGTTGTAAACATGTACTAAGTGGATTTATCGATGCGTGTCAAATCACCATACATCATGACGTGAGACGGTATTACGTGTAAGAGTAATCTGGAGAAATAGAAAATGATCAGGTTAATACAGTAAACTAACTGTTCACATCTGACCTAGGGGAAAGCATAGCGTTCCTAGTCTAGGTATTCAATACGTCATATGTCATGTGAGATCTAGACAGATGAAGCTCAAATTCTATAACCTGTCAAGATAAAAACTAGAAACCCTTCTACTGATAATGAAATCCTAAAGAAAACGATAGAATTTCTGGAGACACGGAAGTAGATGAATTCACACATGAAGTAGGGAGACTAATTATTAAAAAAATGTGAATACCTACTTGCCAAGTTTTTCTGCGATGCGTTCACAATCTGAACCAGAGAAGAACCAGATGGAGAATATATCCCCTATATTATTGTTGTGCTAAGGACATTTATTATTTACCTTTCGAAGTCTTATATAAAAGAAAAGGACAGTGCAGCTGAAGCTGTAAACTTGCAGTCACTAACTCAATTTGATTCAATGTCGGACTCTTACGATTCAGAATCATGAAAGCGAAAAAAGGAACTTTTGATCTGAAAGAAATATATTGGTGAGTTACACTCGACACTTACCGCTTATATAAGAAAAATATGCCACCTGTTTTCGTTTTAGCCTAAAATTAGAGGGAAAGTTTGGGTACGAAAGAATAAACAATTATGTTCAATGAAACTTTATACGACAAATAACCTGGTACGGCCGAAATTCTCTCACATGGCCATGAGTATATAGCCACTGCCAGGAAAGTTCTACTCACTACCTTCTCGCCGTGTGATTGTTTACAAAATTGAGAGGATGTAAAGCAAATGTTTGGCGCTTTAACCGGGTTAATGGGTATGGAACATCCATCTAGGGGAGCTGGAAAACCCTGATTCCAAACTAATTGTCCACATGGGCTCCAGTATCCTGAGGGAACAAGTGGTGTATGAATCAATTGCTGATCACCGGCAACCATGGGACCGTTTCCTTACGTCAGTCCACTGCCTTGTGAATCAGACCTTTAGGTCGAAGACTCGGAACGTGGTCTCCCAAGAAAACCACCTACTCTGGTTTGGGCACTCGGGAAGTACCCCAGCCCTCACATAAGTCGAATGATTAATGTGGCGCATATCTATTTGGTGCCTCCTTGTACCAATGTTTGTGTTTAAATATATAAACAACGACAAACCGTGGTATCACCTACTTCATCATTTTACTGTACACAATCAATGCCTTGAAGACATCTACTATCAAATAGTAATAACCAACAAATATTTCAAGACCTCAAAGACCACCTTTCAAGATCAAGAAGTGGAACAGAGAAAACCGATGTGCAATATGCTCGCCTTTTAGTAGACCGACGAATACCCACCTTATTTTTTGAGTGACGTAAGCTCATCGATGTTTCCAAATATTTGATGTGAACATTCTTGCACTGGCACTCAAGGCTTAAGGACATTTTTATTAGTATCTTCAATACATCACTATTTTATGAAAACAGTTATATTTCGTCTACCGGACTAGTGTACACACGATTGTTGGTTTGATAAACGTCTTACTTTCGTTGACCGAGTCCCATAACCAACAAATAATCTATAAGAAATTGCTGTCTATGACGGTCACCCTTTCAGGCAAACAGGCATCTCATTGCGATCGGGTCAATAATAACTATATGAACCAATGATATATATTGCCAAAAACTAAGACCGAGTTGTGTAATTGTTACTGGTAAGTTTTTGCCAAATATAATGGGTCTTACTTGTAAAATTTATGCATACACACATATTTCCGTAAATATCGTGTATGTAGAACTTCAGAGCCAACTATTTGACGATTACTTGGGAGTAATGATAGCTATATACACATAACTATGTATACACAAAAGGCAAAACAGGATTCAGCCTTCATATAGTGGTGTCTTACCACATCAGAAGAATGTCATCAGAATATTATAGGGTAAGTTATTCTTATTCGGGTCCAGTCCAACCACAACACCAACCGCAGTGAAAACGCTACTCATGAATTGAGTCATGAACATGAAAAAAGCCACAACCAGTAAGACGCTATAAACCAGGCAGGATTTTTAGTATGCAGGGCAGATGTGACTCAAATCTCAGGGAATGAACAGACATTTACGTCTTTACTATCAAGATAATGGGACAGATGAGAAGATTGAAACAAAAATGTATTAACTTTTGCAACAGGTATCCGAATAAATGTCCATTTTCCAATAGGAAAAGCCTTTAAAAGATTTCAGCGCCAGTTGTTTGAGTTATAGGTTTAGAATTATCATTATAAAGATCAGGCAACCATATAAAGCTGAAGGCCATAATGCAGCAAGGTTGTACTAATAGGGGTTGAAAAAATCAAGGACTTACCCATGCATTTTTATCACTCTGGAAAGAATACACATGAGCACTTGGAGACTTGTCCAGGATTTGTGTGCAATACTTGTCGTACGTTTGGATCACAGTGAGGTTAAGTTCGTCCGCTTCCTTCATGATCTACCGGTTATTTAAATAAGCGCCACCGCCCCTTTGTGTAACAAAAGCATATGTACCATACATTGTACATTTTTTAGAATGGTTTCTTTATTTAAAAGGATATGTTGGTGTTTCCTTCACTATAACTGATTTGTAGATTTATTGTTATGACGACATGAAGCGCAAAGTTTCAAAACGTTTAGTTACTAGATTGTAAAAGACCTTATAATGGCTGGATTGGTGCGGCAACCTCAACGCTTCACACATGAAGAATGGACGTATAGCAACAATTTAAAGTATCGTAGTGCAGAGAAGGAACGTGAAATATCACAAGGACTACAAAATGAATGTGATAGACTCATTGAGGAAACGGCCAAACGCACCGAAAAAACCCTGAAAGATGTGGAGAAAAAGTTTGGTAGGTCGTTGTTGTATGAAAAGTTTCATGTGCCAGATCTAAGAATTGCTAACGTTAAGTACTGGAAGTCAGAAGTCAACAAAAAACTGCAGGATACTTCAGAGGAAACTGAAATATTGGACGAGTACTTTATCCGATTAAAGAAAACACTCGAAGCAACCGAAGAACCTCTTCACTTTGCTCAGCAGTGTTTACTCAGTCGGTAAGTTCAGTAAAAGTTTACTATTTCGACTGTTTCCCAGTGAGGGAAGAACAGGTATTGATCTCGTCCACGACGATGCACAAATGGAGCTCATAAAAGAGATAGAAGTAATAAAAGGAGCTCAAGCAATCCTACAGAAAACTGTTGAGCAAACCAAAGAACAACTGAGGCAAGTTTCGGGTTATATATCATTCTCATACTTTCTTCCGCACGATTCGAAATTCTAATCCATTTATCAATGAAAGACAGAGCCTACATCTTTTTCAAAAGACCTCTTGATTTTTGGTTGATTCAGTTGTTTATCTGTAGTTTTTAATACCTAGCTAATGAAAACTGAAATAGATATGAAGCACACCATGAAGCGTTAATGCTCATGTCCTTTTCTATGGTGGATGGTGTGATACTAGAATTATCTGTAGTGACATTTACGTTCAGTAATTTTGCAACGACATTCTTACCATACTTAATCATAGGTATCCCAAGTTTACAAGTATAAGGTGACGGCAGTCTAATGACAATCCAGTTATTTACTTTGTATAGGTTCTTTCTAAAAAAATGGTGAGATCCGTGGAATTCGTTATTTGTGGTGAGTTCTCTCAGCAGTGTGAAGTTATTTTTCGTCCAACCACTTTCCAAACCTAAACAGAGGTTGGTTTGCTAATCCCCTCCCTAGAATATTTTAGATGTTGTTAAATATAGTAAGAGCATTGGCGCTTTTCGACATGTTACAGAACTCTTCATTAATTGTTTGTCCATCATCTAGCTTATGCTGGTTGTCAGGAGACTTAAGGCTTGAAATGGCCTGTACCTTTAAATGTCTCTGGTGTAAAGCAACATTTTTACTCTTAAGTTAGCCCAATATACTGTCTAACAAAAAACGTTCACAGACTTTAAACACAAATCATGTAATAATAGAAGTCGAACATGGTTTACTTCCATTAATTACTAATAAAAAGAAACAACCTGTTTCCTTATCGTTATTCAAAATAAACTCAATCATATCCACTTCTGTTCAAACTTTCTACATTTAGAGTGGCCTAACGTTTATGACTTTGTCCCTGTCTGTATAACAGCGAAATGTTTTGAGATTAGTTTTATGACTGAACTACTACAACGAAAGCCGAAAAATGCACTAAACGTTTATTAGTCCATGAGTTCACGCCTTCATAGTTTAGCTACTTTCTATAAATACATAGTTACATAGTTTACCACTGTATGCAGTCTTAATTTGTTAACTATCGGGCTTCCAAAATAAGACAATCTAAACAGTTCAACTTAATTCCCTATGAGTCATAATTGTTTATATTGCACTTAACAGATGGAATAAATGTAGCGACCAAAATAATCTTTTAACTATTTACAGCCGAATGTATGGGTGCATTCCCTCAAATTATTGAGAAACTGCAGGTGTAGTGAATAGTTAAAAGTATCTTGGAACGGCCTTGTATTAACGAGTAAGTTATGTCCCACCTCTTGAGGTAGTCGGCCTGTATTTACATTTTTGACACTGAATTACATACACTATAGATAAAGTTGTTACCAGTCGTGGTAAGTTAGCGTACAGTAAATGAGTCATGTAGCAATTAGTTTATCGAATTTGACTGGTATCTGTCGTTAAAATTGCAAATTAATCTGCTATTCAAAATACTTAATTAGTTATAGTTTGAATGCTTTGGGATGAAAATTGCTACCAGTCTTCTAATTACCAATAAAATCAACTTCCAGTTCCAAGTTTGTCCAAATTACTAAATTTTTCACCAACGTAAAAAAGAAGGCATAATACTTGGTAAACATGGCACTCACATAGTGGCTAAGTATTTTGTTTTTAACGATTATAAGTAGAGTTATCATGAATACAAAATAGTATGCAAATAACCTAGTTCACATTCCTGTTTCGCATCTATAAGGTTTCTGAGGAACTCATCCATCTTACTTCCAAACACTTATATCTCTTAAACTGACGCTTTAAGCTACATGAGTTCACTTTAATTGGATGTCCACTCTCCCCATTCTTGTTCAACTTTGTGGTCGACGTACTTTTAGGGATAACACTCTCCTCATCTAAATTTACAGGGGTTGAACTTCTACCAGGAGGTTCACTTGTTGACTTAGAATATGCTGATGACATAGTTTTATTTGGTGAAGACGCTGACACAATGCAGAGTCTTCTGACCACTCTAAGCAACAATGCAAGCATGTTCGGGATGCGATTCTCTCCCTCGAAATGCAAAATGTTGCTTCAGGATTGGGTTACATCGACACCCGAACTAGTGATAGGGAGTGAAGTAGTTGAGTGTGTCGACCGCTTCACTTATCTTGGAAGTCTCATCAGCCCTTGTGGTTTGGTGTGTGACGAAATCTCAGCACGGATACAGAAGGCTCGACTAGCTTTTGCCAACTTGCGTCATTTATGGCGTAGGCGAGATATCCGTCTATCAACCAAAGGACGTGTTTACTGCGCAGCAGTTCGTTCCGTCCTACTTTATGGCAGTGAAACATGGCCGGTAAGAGTAGAGGATATCCGTAGGTTACTAGTATTTGATCATAGGTGTCTTCGAAACATTGCTCGTATATCATGGGACCATCGAGTAAGTAACACAGTTGTTAGGAAACAGGTACTAGGTAAGGATGGCAAATCAATTGAGGAAGTAGTGAAACTTCATCAGTTGAGATGGCTGGGACACGTGTTACGTATGCCCAACGACCGACTGCCTCGACGTGCTATGTTCAGTGGTATAGGAGTAGGTTGGAAGAAAGCTAGGGGCGGCCAAACCAAAACATGGCACAAGTCCATGAAGTCACTGACAAGTGAACTGAGTCATGTTGGTAGGTGTAGACTACCTGGTTGGGGACCGCGAGATGACAGCAACCGATGGTTAGAGACCCTGAATGACATGGCTCAAAATCGTTTGCAATGGCGCAGGTGCATCCACTCTCTGTGTTCTCCCAAATTCTAATCTTCTGAATTCTTCATGTCCCTTTTTTCCTCTTTCCAAATTTATTTCACTGGATTATACTCTTTAAATAACATCTCCAAACCCTAATCTTCCCGATTACTGCTTATACTCTTATTACCTCTACCACTACGGGATTTGAATCGACAAGTGCATCTCTGTGCTAATGTGGTGTGGCAACTCGAACTGATGTACGTACGTACGAAGTTCTACGTTGTTTGACTGACTGGATGTTTTTTTCCTACTGAAACAAAAGATCACCTAGTTTTATTCACAATACAACACCAATGGTTTTTCTCAAATTATATATCTAATAAAAACCATGTCATATATGTTAGACATTGGTAAACCTTACGGCTGGACTTACTTTTTAATAGTTAGGAGTTATAAACCTAAACTCTAATTCTCTTAAATTAGTTGTGGAGTATCACTAAAACTCGCATAAAAGTGTGACTTCAGACAGATTATAAAAACTTACATTTTGTTATTGCCCTGCACATAAGTTTTTAATTTATACAAGATGTAAGCAGTTAGAGATTATTCAGTTAAAAGTATGGTGGATATTGCAGTAAGTAATGTTTGCGACTGGATTAAATCTAAAAGGAAAACTTGTTAATCGCTTTTGAACATAATTCCACAAAAGCTTTGCACCATGATTCACCGTGATCAATATCCTGTGTAGCTTTCCAGACTAGCAGTGCCCATTATCACAAGAGAATGTTAAGCTGGGGAATCACACCATCTTTTGTTCAAATAAGACTGCAAAGTGTTGGATAATGCCAGTTTTGATGACGTACTCGTTTAATTCGGTAACATAAGTAGATACTAACCAAATCACCATAGTTTGATTTCATAATTTGTCATTAGTTTAATGACTTTAAATTTTGGAAATGCACAGTCTAATTCAAATAGTACTTAGTTGTAATAACCGTTGAAAATTTTGGAACCAAAATGAAATCATTTCTCATAATTTAACTGTTATTTTGCGAAAACATTTAATAATGGGATCAGGTTAATTGATTTCAAACTACTCTATAAAGTCATTTTTTGTCACAACAATAACTTAAGTAAATATGAAGTAAACTCTTTATAACCATCACTTACGTTATGGTAAATGAGCAAACTATAGTTGTATGTTTGCTTTTTCACATTATGGTAATGATATTATTTCTAAATGATCAAATAAAATTATTTGTTAGTAATCATTATCATATGATATATAAAGTTACAACTATGTATGCTTCTAAGAGTCCTTAATTGTCGATTAATAAATCTTTTCTCTTGATGTATCTTTTTGATCATATGCATTATGATAACGAAAAACTTATTTCTCGACCTTGTATTCTATATTCATTTAACAATATGTATACTATTAGCACAGTAAATCATATGAATATGATGAGGGGTTATTAGATTAGTTGTGCTTTTCCATTTGGATAATGAATTTATTTATTAACTTTGGTTTATATGTTTGTGACTTTATTACAGACATTATAAAATGAATATGCGATATAATTTTTGCATTAAAATTTATCCATAACGTTGTAATGAAATAGATATGCCATAGAAGTTCCCAGATCTGTACAAAACGTGTTATAGTAGCTACGAACTTACCATCACTTGAAGATAAAATAACGCTTGTATTGTATTGGAATTACGGGTAATATGCACAATCATGTTCACAGCATTTATCATTTGATGCTTATACCATGTGAAATTAGCAACAAGGTTAATAACAATGTGAATAAGCTACTTTTAACTATAATAAATATTACAGATTGTGTTTAATTACGTGTACCAAAACTTGTATACTATTTGAATTGGTCAACATGACAATAAGCATTCACGATATATGGATTGACTACGTCCATATCTTATGATTGTTTGAGTCATTTCAATGCCTAAGTGACTTTTCGTAATGGCTATGAATTTATGATATTGTTTTCTAGTAATAATATGTTTCGTAAATACTATTAATAATCCATATATAAATTTGTTGTTTAACGGTGTTAATACTTGACTTGTAGTCTTTGAGTCTCAAGTTCCAATCGAATTTGTTTGTGTTACTTGAGTAGGTTATAGGACAGTGATGAACTTTACGAACATTAAAATAAAATGATTTAACAGTTCATATCACTTAGGTCCAAAAACAAGTTTCCAATGAATCAAATCATACAACATGAGATCATCAGGATTCTGACGGCTTTATGCTTTAACATTCTGCTGCGCTCCCCCAAACAAATATTTTCATCTATATTAACTGTTTCTGCTTGAAAATTCACTAAATATTTCACAATTTCGTTATTTATGCATTATTTTAATGTGAAATTGATCTAAATAAGACAACACTTCACTAATATGTCTAATATTTATTATTCATTACTTTTATGCGTCTGAAATGTAACAAAGTATTATGTTTAAAAATGTTTCAGGATACAAGAGAATAGTGATAGGTTTCTGTTTGTTCAGCTGTTGCAATAAAATCAAATGTTCATTCTAATAGTTTTTGCTAATCTAAATACATTGGTATTTTCTGATTACTATGAACAAATAATTTTTATTGAGTCATGTTTGTAAAGATTCGTTAAATTGGAAAATAATTCTCAACACAAGTCTGCGTAAGCTGCAAAATTAATAAATATGAAGGATTACTTGATATTGTTTCGAACTAAAGGTCTGATTCACAAGGCAGCGGTTCAACGTAAGGATTTGCAGTCCCATGGTTGCCGGTAACCAACAATTGGTTCATGCACCATTAGTTTCCTTGGGATCCTGGAGTCCATGTACACCATTCGTTTGGAATCAGGGTTTTCCAACTCCCCTAGGTGGATCCTCCATACCCATTAAACCGGTTAAAGCGCCAAACATCTGCTTTACATCCTCTCAATTTTGTAAACAATCACACGGCGAGAAGGTAGTGAGTAGAACTTCTCTGGCAGTGGCTGTATACGCATGGCCATGTGAGAGCATTTCGTGAGGGAGGGATGACTCTCTCCACTCTCGGCCGTACCAGGGCATTTTGGTGCAGTGTTTCTGTCTACTTTTATAAAAAATAGAAATAAATCTTATCAATAAAAAGAATTCAATCGCACTAGAAATGTAAACTGTTATGATTTACAGGAAAAAAACGTTATTCACTCAGTTTGAAATGGTAATCCTCAATTCTTGAATCTTAACATATTATTGTGTCTACCTGGGATGTCACAGGTTTATGTAGAAATTTTGCATAACAATTAAATGTTTACCACTAAAGAGTAATGGATATATACAATATATATATATATATATATATATATATATATATATATATATATATATATATATATATATATATATATCAACATTCATACCTTGAAATTATTTTTAGTCACCATTAACTCACTACCTTTTAAATTGTAGATTAAATCGTAAGGCTATTTATAATATGAAAAAGGACTCTTCTGATAAACTGCAAGCACAACATCTTGATGAATATGCTCTTAGTTTAAAGCCAACTGATGAATTACCATCTGGATTTACTAATGTTCCAAAAATTGAGCCAAAGTAAGTTTACAAATCAATAATAATAAATGAATTTAACCAGTTGTTGATTATTTATTGTTGATTATTGCACAAGATAAACTAAAATGAAACACAATTTTTCTAGCGTTTTACGATCGTGGAGTATTTGCCACAATAGCACACTAAATAAATTTAACAAAACACTTTGAATCCTGTCCAACAAGTAAACAATTTATTTCTAAAGTATGTAGATAGTCCCGCCATCTCTTTTTCTGAAAATAGAAATTTCCGGTGAATATCATTGTAACAGACAGCAAAAACTAATCAATATGTCATCAAAAATATTTAACCTGGCATAGATGTACACCACAGTTTGCTAACAAAGTGACAGAAAATTACTAAGACACAAAATAGCGGTAGTACTTGTGGTAACACAAACTAAACTTAGGAAATCTATTGGAGGAGAAATAGATGAAATTAACGAATTCAAAACATAAAGTGATTTTAAAACTTAATATTTAGGAAAACATAAACAATGGGTTCATGTGTCGCGTACCGTGACTGCTTTTGATTCACTTCATATTGACTCTTCTACCGCCAAGTAGACGAACCCTAACTAGTTTAGTTCCACTTCTAAATACAGTGCCTAATATTAATCCCATCAATTACTTGATGTGATGTCAGGAGTATTCTCAAGTACAGACATGCAATAAATGTATCATACATTTTTTAGCAATCCATTCCATCATTATTTTGTCGTGTTACTTCAGTATTCAATATTTCCAAATGGTCTTTTCTATTATCTTTAATTCATAAACTGTTTAAACATACCTTCTGAATACATTTTTCAGTTCCTTTACTCCAGAAGAATGGCAAACATTTTCAACTGCCTCAGTAGAAAGTGGTGATAGACAATTGCAAAATTCACACGAATTAAGAAGTATTATTGATGGAATTATACAACAAGTTGCATCTGACATAAAACGTCAAATTGAAACAACTAATCGTGCTTTAAATAAACGAATTTCAGAAACCCGAAGCTCTAAAGCGAAATTAGAAGAACATTTGAGTGCAGTAAGTTGCTAATTCTTTCTAGTTCAAGTAATCACTAGCTAACAGTTTAAAACCACTGCTTTACCAAATTCAGATAAATGACATAAGGGAAATGTGTATTTAGAGTCAACACTAACAAATATAACTTTTACATTACGGTCTATTTTATCAAGATCATTTTTCATAAGTCTTGGAAATAGATAAGTGCTAATTAATTGAAACATCTATGACATTAATGCTATCCAGATATTATTTTAAATATGATGAGCCTAAATTTTGTGTTAAGATAAATCGTAATTTATATAATGACGTCCTAAACTACACATTTACTATACGTTTTCTGTTTAAAGCTTTTATTTTTATGACCATGTATAATCAATCAACATATGCATTTAATGTAATTCATAGATTCTCATCATTCAGTTTTTTAAAAAATACACTAAATAAGCAGGATGATTTCATCAAAGTACTGAGTTTCCATGCCTTGTATATTTACCTATCCGACTTCGTTGTTCGGTTTTTGTACTACGATAACTGACATTACAAATTTTTAAATCGAATTGAACCAACGGAGTTGAAGTTCTAACTCACAAACTAACATTATAGGTTTAAGTGATTCGATAGAGTTTCAAATCAACATCATTTGTCTAGTACTTGGTTTTACTGAAATTGCTTACAATGTTAAGTTAACCAAACATGATCATTTAGAGATATCAAATCGATTCTTTTCGAAAGTTATGAATGGTTACAGTCGATTGGGTGTTCAAGTGTAGAACTCCTAACTGCTTTCCTTTCAACTCGGATACGGGAACATATCCCAGTTTGGTTCTATAAGGGTGAAAGGAAAGCAGTTAGGAGTTCTATACTTGAACACCTAATCGACCGTAACCATTCTACAGATCCACAAATTGACTTTAAGGTTGTTTATATGATTCGTTCAAATCTACCCAGATTTCTTCGTATCCAACTCTTAAAAATTGCCGAAGCTCTTACCATCCAGGAGCTTAAACCAGAACTATGCGTACAGTAGAAGTACGTCTTATCGTTATCGTTACCTTGGCCTTCATTATTTTGATTATCCTATTATTTTTATTATTACTATTATTACTGCATTCCCCCCTTTACTAATGTCTTATATTCTCATTGTTTTATTCGTAAATGCTCATCATATCACCTTATTTATTTTTTACACCTATATGACCTTTAATTATTACAACGAAAACATTCTAATCATTTTAATCATCTTATTATATTCACTAAATCTATTGTTATTATTCATATTACGTAATCTAGTATTATAACCTTTTTATATTAATTGTGTTCACATTTCCTCACGGAATTAGTACTTTGACAAAAACAAAATTTTCATATATATACGATTGTACAGCTTGATAATAAATTCGTTGAAAAGAGATCCCATCGCTGAAGTTCGTGTTTTAATTTTAATATTTGCAAATATTAAGTTTATATTAGTTATAATTTAACACACATATGTATGTCACAATAATGTCAACGTAAACAGTAGATCATAGCTATAGTATCTCCAAGTTAATATGAACCGTATCCATTTCGAATAATTTCTAAGTATTGGTCAACACTGGATATTTTGCCAAGATATTTGTTTAAGGAATACTAAACAATGTAAATATAATGTGCCCGGCTGGTGATGGCTGATGAAACATGCTGCACAAATGTCACATAATAGAACAATACTATTTACCGTATGGCTTCTCTGAAGCATTTACCTAAGCAATAATACAGTTTCATTGTACAATTTATGTGATCAACTAGCTAATATACAGTTATACTTTCATTATGCTCACTTTCTCTTTTTATGTTTGCTTTGTATTACTTTCAGA